ATGGAGATTATTTGTGCTTTGTTTCATCAAAATGCTAACGTAATTAGATTCAGACTTCGACTCTCTCATTCCCACGGGCAGGTGTGCATGCCACAGGAATCCAATTTTTGGCCTTTTGTGAGGATGCTCCAATTAGTCTCGCACGTGTGTCTGTCAGGGACTCTCCAGAGTACAGAACAGGTTTGGAATCAGGATTAGAGGTTCTCCCCTTAGCATTCTTATTTTCAGGGTTCCCTCTTGGCATTTGGGGCTGGGGCTGTTTCATGTTCTTTTCTTTGTTCTTTATCACGGAAAGAGAGAGCTGCTTTTGCTCAGTGTTCAGTGCCCTCAGGTAGCTGCTGTTTGTGTTTTGTGCAATGTGATGTTCTTGGCTGTTAAAGGGGAGGGCCACTCTAGTGGAAGACTTACATCATACCCAAACACAGTGCCCTTACTCATATTTATTCTGTGAAAACGCACATCTCTTAGAGTCTCTCCTCTTAATTTTTTTTTCAGTTCTATCTGCCACTTTCAATTGACTTACAATGTTTTCAAAAATTAAAAAACAGTCCTACTTGGACTATACACGCTTTTAAGATAATCTCATGTTTCCCATTTGGTAAGCTAGCCATGAAGCCACCACTTCAAGATGGATGCATAGACAACTGAGCCTGTGGCTACAAAAAACAAGGAAAGCAGAGCATGTAACCCTGCAAAAACATTGCTGCATTTCAGTAGAAAATGACAACCTTTAGGGGGTTCATGTTCTGGTGACTGTCTCAGGGCCTTGGTCATGCTAAGCAGGCACTCTACCACTGGGCTCCATCCTCTGACTCCCATACGATAGGTTTTAAATAATAAGGCTTGGGGCTGAAATACCAGCAAATGAGGTCAAGGCAATGACATTAGCAACGATTTTACTTATGAGTGAGAAGTAACCAAAATTATAAAATAGTTATTCTGCAACTGAGGTAGGAAAAGTCTTCACAATATGATAACTGGGTACCAAATAAAGGCAGTAGGGATCTGCCACTTTAGACAGGTAGGACAGATGACAGACAATGACGTAAAGAAGAGAGAGAATTGAAACTCCAAGTTATTGTATGATGGTTAGTCTCTTCTATCCCACAGGAGATCTGTTCCAAGATCCCATGGTTGCCTAAAACTGTAGACAGTACTAAATATACCATCTATACACATATACATAAATATGTATACATATGCAGACTTCCTTGATTCCTAGGCATGTGTTTCATTTAAGTCATTGTCATTGAATGTGTCAAATCTTTAAAACTAATCTAAGTAGCATACATATATACTCTACTTCTGTCAATGCCTCTGAAAGCTTGGCTCTGACAATGACAAGATGTCACCTGTGCTGCCCAGGTCCCCAGTCCACCTCTCCACAGTGGTGGCCCTCTCCTGCCCATGAGGAGGTGACATTTTTCTAATTTTTGTGTTTGTCACTTCTTTCTATTTATTGGAATTTTATCTTCTGGACATTTCTTTTTCAAACAGATTCATGTTATCTTTATTTATGTGTATATGTGTGCACAGTGCCTGTAGGAGGCCAAAAGAAGGAGTCACAGGCTGTTGTTAGCTGTTGGGAACTGAACCCTGGCCTTCTGCAAGAACAGCGACTCTTCATAGCAGCTGAACCATCTCTCCAGTCCCTCTTGCAGACATTTCTATTTGTGTATCTCACTGCTACCCTAAGCTTACATACCTTCAGTCTTTCTTAGCCTCCAGACTGCATCTGAGTACTTATACCAGTCAAATCCCAATGGCTTTAGTCACAGAGTAGCCTAGAGTTCATTCTCTGCCTGATGTTCTTACAGCAACTGTCCGACCTCAGTCCCTGATGACTCCCTTTCTGGGGCTGTTTAAAAAAACTACCCAGCAAGTTCCTCAGCCCTCAGCCATCAGCCCTGTCTTCTGCCACATCACCAATACAGCCACGTGAGTAACTTACCCAGGAACACAACTGAGCATATCACTTCCTAATTTGGGATGTGTCTTGCATGGAGTGACAAGTACTGGGATACATGAGCTCAAAAGCATGAGAGCTAGGCAGTACCGTCCGTCATTGCTCCCCCTGGCCAAAGCCCTTCCCACTCCTGGTTCTCTGCACGTGATACATGCTTTCCTTTCATCCATGCCTGTAGTTTCCCCTACCCATGTCTCCCTTCAGCTGGTTACTGCCACTGTGGTAGCAGGCTTTCTTGGACCAGCAGCCCCCAAAGCATGATGCTGAGACTTATTGTCAATTATGAATGCTCAGCCTTATCTTAAGCTTGTCCCACTAGTTCTTATAACTTTATTTAACCTGTTTCTCTTCATCTACGCTCTTACCTTGGGACTTGTTACCTCTCTTTCATTCTGTATGTCCTACTTTTCCCACTTCTTCGGTGTCTGGTTGTAGATGTAACCAACTGTCTTATTAAATAAGAAACACAGAAACAATGTAAAAGAGAAAGCCAAGAGGTCAGAACTCAGAGCTAAAATCTCACCCTTCCTCCTGCTGTCCCAGCTTCCCAAAAGAGAGCTATTTCCTGGATGTAGATCGATTTTCCAGTCATTCTGCCTTCTCATTGGTTGTAAACCCAAACACGTGACTGCCTTGTTACTGTCTGAATGTACAGCCCCCTAGGTCTTAAAGGCATATGTCTCCAATGCTGGCTGTATCCCTGAACACACAGAGATCTATGGGATTAAAGGCGTGTGCCACCACTGCCACACTCTGTCTATGGCTCTAATAGCTCTGACCCCCGGGCAACTTTATTTATTAACATACAATCAAAATC